TCCATTTTAAACATGTAGCTTTGTGACAAATTTAGTGTTAAATCTATACTTTTATGATAATTTGATCAAAGTACATGTAGTTTTGTGAAATTTAATCTTTACAATATTCAGAACAAACCTTTTAAATATATGTATTCCGAAAGGAGCAATGCTATACGTAAATATCTATCTAATATATTTACGGTGGCAGAGCCACTGACGTTTTGGCGGAACTTCTAAAAAGTAAAAAAAAAAATTAAACCTAAGCGATAATTATATTCGACTTTTAAAATACCAACGATAATAAAGAGAAGATACAATGGACGGCCGTAGAAGAGTATAATGGTAGCGTTTGACGGGACTTAACCCAACACGACAATGAACTCTAAAAACTATAAGATCCAATTTTTAAAAGTTCCAAGAAAAGTGAATAGAAACAGTGAAATATCGAGCAAAGCAAGTAGGGAATAATAATTGGGTGACTTTTAAAAACTATAAAATTAGAAACATGATAATGATAAGGTTTGATATTTTAAAGTCTTAAGAAAACGAGATATCTATTTAATAAATTTTAAGTAAAACATAATAAAAAATATATAATTTTATAGGGTTACTAGCCCGCGCAAGCAAGCTAGTTTTTATTAAAAAAGCAAAAAGATGTGAGATAATAACTTTAAGAGGTTTATAAGGCCTAAACCTTCGGTAATTATCCACATCGACGGATCCTCATCCTAATCCGTTCCCTTTGTCCTGTTCCCCCATCTTTTACACTGTTGCACTCTGCAACCGACGCATCAACCTCCACCGCCCTTCTTCCCCGCCGTCCCGAGAAAGGAACCGGAAAAAAAAAATCCCCAATTCCCCCTACGCCGAGCAGCGGCGTGCCGGCAATGTCCCTCCGCAAGCGCCAGCGTTCGGCGAGCAGCTCCCGCCTCAGCACCCTCTCCTCCTCGCCGGCTCCCCACACCGCCGCCGCCGCCGCCTCCGCCTCCTCCCCTCCGCTCTCCTTCCCCAACGCCGACCTCGTCCTCCGCCTCCACCTCGACCCCTGCCCCGACGACGACGCGGACCTCGACGCCGGCGAGGATCACCGCCCCTCCCTCGACCTCCACGTCTCCTCGGCGTCCCTGCTCCGCTCCCGCTACTTCGCCGCTCTCCTCTCCGACCGCTGGAGCCCCGCCCCCACCTCCGCCGCGGGGGGGCACGGCCACCTCTCGCTGGCCGTGGCCGCTCCGCGCTCTGCCTCGCACCCTTTCCACGCCCACGTCGAGGTCGTCCGCCTCCTCCACACCCTCGACTTCGCCGGCGCCATCCACTCGCCCGCCGACGCCCTCGACATCCTCCCCGTCGCGCTCCAGCTCCTCTTCGACGCGTGCGTCGAGGCGTGCACGCGGTTCCTCGAGGCGGTACCCTGGTCGCCCGACGAGGAGGCCCGCGTCCTCGAGATCGCGCCTCTCCTCCCCGCCGATGAGGCTGCCGACCTCCTCGCTCGGATCACGCCTCCCCCAGCCGCCTCCGCCTCCGCCGCCGGGGGCGAGGCCGCCAGGTCGCCCTCCGAGGCGATGCTGCACGGCTTGATCCACTCCGCCATCCATGGGCACCCGGTCCCCGCCGCAACCAAGGCGTTCGTCGCGATGCTCCTCAAGGACTACCCCTCCCGTGACTGCGTCCAGAAGGTGCTCGACGAGGCGTTCCTGTCACGGCTGGAGACTGTCAAGGAGCTCATGGGGAAGTATGCCAGCCCGGATTTCAGGGTCGCGGTGGACAGCGATGAGCGGGACGCGATACAGAGGCTGAACCTGCAGTCCGCGGTATTGAATGTGAGACACTTGCTCTGGCTCATCGAGAGGATGGTCGAAATGAGGGTGGCCGGTAATGCGGTTAAGCTGTGGAGTGAGCAGGCTGCACTGACTGCTGATCTGCAGAAGTTGCTGAATGATGTGGATATGTGGAAGAATATTACTCCTGGGCTTCCTGTGCTTGTTACCAGATGCACGCTCAGGTTCGCCAATTCGGTTGTGAATGGGGAGACAATAGTTCCTCGTCAGGTTAGCCTTCTGAGCTGATATTTGCCTTGTTATGAACTTGCATCCACGATAGTACTTAATGAAGGTATGCTGTGATGCCAAGTGTTGCATATCTGTTCAACGATCGCTTAGTTCCAATCTGATTATTTCCTTCTGTTGCAAAGCAAATCAATAGGTTTGAGTTGTTTAGTACAAGTATGTTACATCTGCAGAAGTAATCCAATGCTATATTTTGACTAAGCCATTGCTATGATTTATAATCGAATGTTCTCATGAGTAATCAGTAGTTACTTGTGGTTGTGATCTGGTAGCATCATTTAAAACAATCTATCTTCGGACATAATCATCATTTATTTCCCATTGTTTCGTGGTTAGGATAAACATGACTTATGTACTGTTTTTGGGAACAATTTTACCACGAGGATCATAGGTGTAGACATTCCTTTATATTTTTAGTGCAATAAACTAGTGGCTTTTTCTGGATAGTTTGGGTGCATACATGTGCATTTTTAAGAGTTCCAGGTTGTTGCTTGAAGTCTTGAGCATTAGTTTGGAGTTGTTTGCAATTTGCATCCAGTAAACAAGTGCTAAATCTAACTGAACGAATGTCCATATGAGCAAATATTATTTTGAAAGTAGTTAGTAGGCTAAATTGAGCTTACCCAGAGTTAGTACCTAGATAGTTATTTCCAATTCCCACAGGTTGTCATACTTCTTCTATGATCATTTTGTTCTGCGGACAGATTTTTTTATTGCTCCTCTGTAATGTATTCCATGTTTCTTTTTCTTAGCGCTATGCTTGTAATCACTCATGGTTTTACCATTTTTATGTATGATCATTTCATTCCATGTTCACAGCTTGTTTGATAGTTTCTTTGTATTGACCTCTATACTATCTACAATGGCTGTCTCTGGTTGGTTGCAACTCACTTTTAAGTGTGCCTGGAAGTTTTTATGTGTGTATCTGTGTTGGATCAACTCGGGTGGGTCTATAGTTTAATAAGACAGTAAAACTTGAAATAATTGTATCTTTTCAGTGTACAGGAGCAGAAAACTAGACATGCATCAATCTAAATTCGATTCATGTGGAAATTACTGTGCATATCAGTTTGGTGGGTTCAATAAGATTTTTCATTAGTAATACTTTAAGAGGTTGAGTTGTGAGTTGGATAAAGGTTACTTTGTTGTACTTGTGTTGTTGTTTAACTTGATGGGTCTCTATGAGTAAAAAAAGCATATGTCCCTGCCTCCTCAGATAGCCAAGCTCTCAACTGCGAGGCCTTTGTGTATATGTTTTTTTTCTTCTCTCTGGCCAGGCAGAGTTGGTCTAAAAGCATTTGGCAGATGGTAGGCCAGCTCTTTTATGAATAACTTTGGCAAGAAAAGCTAGCAGGTCATCCAAATGAGATGGGTTTTTCCCGTAGATCAGTGTATTAAAGAAATGCTCAGATCTGCTATTGTGCTTGTCTAAGTACCATGTCAATCCACTAGGTACACAATCAACATCTAGTTGTATGATGGCAACAATGACAAGCACATTTTACAACCCTGAACTTTCATGAATATATGCACAAGAATTAAAAAGTAAAGCTCAACTCAAACTATACTATCAAATTATGAACTATCAGAACTGTTCAATTTTCAACCATGGTACAGATAGTTTTGGTTGACATAACATTGATGGTGTGTGGCCTGAGGCTGAGACAGTTTTTTTTGGGACTCAGCTAATCCTCTTGATCTCTGGCATAGCTGAACACACAATTTTATCTGATGATATCCTTGTAGCTCTCTGTCTAGTATTGCCAGATTTTCCATGGAGAGCTCATACTACATTATAATACACGCTTGTAGCTTTGTTCTTGTGTTTAATTGGGTCTGACATATATGACATTTCTGCTTCTCAGGTGAGGACGAAGCTTGTCAGAAGTTGGCTTCCTGTCCTAAACGTCTGCAGGAACATGGTTCAGCCTATGCAGTGTGGATACAAGTCACCAAATTGCCAAGAGCTAGAGGAGACATTTCTTCAGATCATCTCCACCTTGCCTGTCCCAGATGCTCAGGAGTTGCTGCAACAGTGCCTCGGGTTCTCGACTCGCAACGTCGACGACTGCCCGCACTTGATCGCAGCCTTCAAGACATGGTTCAGGCGTGCTGGCCGGGCTCCTCAAGGTGCAGAAAATTGAGATGAGCGCTGCAGCTAGTGTCTGCCAACAGTGGGTGCTGTCTTGTGCGAAATCTCACATCTAGTTCAATGTAGTTCCTAACGCTGTTTCTGTACATTGTTGTACTACCTACCCTATCTATTGCCATGTAAGGTATATGATATGTACATAACAACATTTTTCTGTTCGTGTGAAACATGTTACCCAAGTGCAGATGAATGATGCACTAAACTAACTATTCACGCGTGCAATGTTCTTCCCTTCGGAATGTGAATATAACTTGACGACAAATGTATATTCAGCTGATGATTTCTTCTGTTTATCTGCCGCAAGAACACTGCAGTCCAGTGAGTTTATCGGTTTCTCTTGTCTACAACTGAGAATTGCGGTCCCGGTGTATCACTCAAATAAGCTCATATTTTGTGTTCTGCGAGTTTCAGAATTCAGACCATTCTCTTCAAAAGAATTCAGATAGTACTACTGAATTGCTCGTGCTATTCTCTCGCCAACGTGGCAAAGCAGTATCCTCTGATCTGGTTTATTAATTCTTTCTCGTTTGCTGGAACATTTAGTGGAGAACATGACTAAGTTCAAAAGTCAGAATTCGGTTTCTTCCTCATTCCATTCAGAATTCTTTTCATATAAAATAGCTGTGGTAAACTCCTAGTCTCTGCAGCAACTAAAGTCTCCCCTTAAAATATAGGATTCAAATCTGGAAAGAGGTCTACGCACGAAATGTCACTATTTCAGCACAAGTCTCATGTTCTACGTAAGACCCAGAATGTTTAGTTCTAGAAGGGACAGTGATTATGGAAGTTGTTATGAACCTGAGTTTTAATCTAAAAGGAGATTAAAGATTTAAGACGCTCTCATCTTTCACTCGCCAAGGACACGTTTTCTACATTATTACAGTACATTACGTTGGGAAGGTTGATACTTAGCCCAACCCAAAATACAAGTGGCCAAAAGCAAGCCAAATTTGAGAGATTTTATCTCGTCGTCTTCCTTCACATCGACATTACACAAAGGAGGAGGAGAAAAAACAGAAAGAAAGAAAAAAATGGAAGAAAAATTGGAACGAAGAAGAGGAAGACACGAGTGACACGCCATGAATTCTAGCACCGAATTGTACACATGTGCGACGAGCTGCGGCGACGACGAGCCGACGGGACGGTGAGAGCCATGGCGTGCAACGGCGAGCTAGTAGAAGCCCTGCACCGGCCACCGGCGGTCGGGATCGGGGAGCCACGACGAGCGCTTCTTCTTCTTGTCCTTCTTGTCCTTGCTGCCGCCGCCGTCCTCGCCGTCGACCTCGGCCTCCTTCTCGCCGTCGGAGCTCTTGGAGTCGCCGTCGGAGGAGCTGCACCCGGCGGCCACGCCGCCGCCGCCTCCTCCGCCGCCGGACTTGTTCCTGGACCGCACGTACTCGATGAGCCTCCACGCCGCCGGCTTCGGCTGCTGCGACCGCGGCGGGGACGGGGGCTCCTTGGCCGGCTTCTGCGCCTTCCGCTCCGCCGCCTGCAGCTTCGGCGTCCCCGTCGGCGTCGGCGTCTGCGGCTGCGGCAGCTTCTCCGCGGGCGGCGCCGGGGCGTCGCTCTTCATCAGCGGGTCCGCGTCGTCGGGGAGCCGCGCCGACTGCGACAGCCGCTCGTACTCCGGCAGCGGCACCGTCTCCTCCGACGACGCCCCGCCCTCCTTCCCGCTGCCGACGCAGTCCATGAGCAGCAGCTGCTGGTGGCTGCCCCCGCCCGCCCTCCGCCTCTGCCGCCGCGCCCTGAACCTCGATCCCCTGCCGCTTCCGCCGCCGTAGCGCTTCTCCTCCTCCAGCTGCTGCTGCTGCTGCTGCTCCTCCTCGTCATCTTCCGTGTGAACCAGGACGTCCATATTTATCTCGGCTACTGGCGCCACAAACCATGCACCGTCTCTCTCTCCCGATCTCGCGATCTCGCGTTGGGAGTATAAATTTTGCGCAAGTGATGATGGGGGTGCAAATGGATGGCGAGAGAGGGAGGGGGAATGGGGGGAAAAGCTGGGGAATGCCAAGTTTGACAAGGATTTTTGGCTCGCGAAATCGCGTTTTTATTCAAGCGTGTGGGCGTTTGACCCGCGCGCACGGAGGTCGGGGTCGTGGTGGTGGTGGTGGTGGGCGCCGTGGCGAGGTGATCCAGCCACGCGCAGACGCGCCCGCTTGGCTCGCGTCGCGTGCCGTGGCGTGCGCGTTCGAGGGCGGGGCGCGTAGGTGGATTTGGACAGTTTTGACGGCGGAGAAACGGCAAGCCATGGCCTTCTTTACTTGGTGAAAAGAAAATTTTTTAGTTACATCAGACGTGACCGGATATCAGAAAGGGTTTTTAACACGAATGAACAAACTAATTTCATAACAGCACATGTGGTTACTGCAGCACTTATGGTTAATCATGGATTAATTAGGCTCAATAGATTCGTCTCGCGATTTCCATGTAAGTTGTGTAATTAGTTTTTTTATTTTATTTATATTTAATGCTTCACGTATATATAAAAAAGTTGATGTGATGTTTTTGAAAAAAAAATTAGAAACTACACCAGGCCCATATCGTGATCATCAGAGAGGCCGGGTAGTACACAAAGTGTGCGTTAACTAGTGACACTTGCGAATTTCGGGAGGAGGCAGGAACGAACTTGGTCAAGTCCTGAACTCTGACCGCATTATATCCCAGGTAGTACTTCTGTTTGTGTTGCAAATTTATACAAAAGGGAATATAAAATCACATTTCAAGTTTCAACACATCTCACTAAACGACATCCGCTTCTCCGCTTATCAGCCATAACCGAAATTTAAGTTTTAAATTTCATTTGTTAATTTTAGAGTTGATTTTGAGGTTTTTATTATTGTAGTTTATTTTTAGCATTGACTTTTAACCATTGGCAACACATGCCTATAAACTATTCTTTATTTGGTTTATTCATTTTTTCCATTTTGTATTCACGGTAGTTCAAACATCAGAGCGTTTAGTAGAGAGTTAAAACCGTCGTTTTGTGAGACGATATGTGAAAATGAAATGTAGATATATAGTTTTGTGAAACTAATTTTCAAAAGCGTATTTTTCTTTTATTTTTTTTTCATTTACAACGTAGACTAATGAAAGGGGTAAATGACTAATATCATGGACTGCCTATTTTTTCCACTTCACAAATATTGCAAGTAGAGTAAATAATTACGTAGAAATATATTAGTGATGGTTATGTCAACTAGGTTTAACAAAACGCGGTTTCCGTGAAAATTGGACTTTTTGAACCGGCTCGGGAAAAAGTGCTCGGTTTTCACTTTTCAGTTGAGTTAAAAAAATAGATTGAATTTTAGAACTTTTTTTTGAAATTTTCTGACAAATTTCACCATTAGTCAATGGTTTTCGTGAAAAAAAGGGAAAAATCTTTGGTCCCTTTCTTTAAGTGATTCGGTTCATGAACCTGTTGTCAATTATATATATGTAAATGGGGAGAGTACATATACCACCTCCGGAATTATCGACAGTAAAGGACCACTCGCCTTTCACCCCAGTTGCAAAATACAAACATAACAAATTTCCAGTTGAGCTAATCAAAAACCCTATTTTGTACGATCATTGGATCTAGACAGAATGGATCAAATTAAGCACTCCTCGATCGCTAACTGGCCACTCCACATGACGGTGGTCACGATCTCTGGGGACGCCTCGTGTCGCTAAACAAATGCCAAAACCACGAGACGATTATCTCTCTATAGGATCTGGTAATCTGGTATTTCTAGTCCTCCAACGCTAAGCCGAAACTATATTATAGTTGCATATGGCATCTGCTTGGATTAGACCAAGCAGATTAAGAAAACGAGAAAGGATTTTACGCGGCGAGTCGGCGTCGATGCAGGCAGTCGATGCCGTGCTCGCACGCTGGCTTCGCTGCCTTTACACGCCACAAGGCCCACTCTTGGTCAATAATGTACTGATCTTAAGACTGAATTAATAGGGAAAAGGATCTCATATGCTTAGCATGATCAGCCTCGTTAATCGCGTAGGAGTACTAATTAATCACCCGGCCCAGTTCGTCATTGTGTCCTGAAAATTAAAGATAACTGTAGCGAAGGCACATCTGATCGGCATGATGATCCTCTCCTAGATTGGCGTAATTAACATGTAATAATCCCCGGGGAATGGTACGGTTGCAGGCTGCACTCCGTGCATGTAGCCCACTGAATCTTGGGTGACCGGTTTGATAAGGAGTTGTTGTCCCCCGTATTCACCGGCAGGCAGATTAGTTTGATGCTAAACACGCCGGAGATCCGCTGTTGGACGGCGGCATGTTCATCGTTGCAAGCGATTTGGTTGGACCACATCACTCGAGCCAGCTGCCGGTAGCATGTGCATACAGCCATGCACACGCAGCTTAAACCTTGCTTAGTTAGCGAGATGAAAGTTAACTTTGGAGTAGTAACCAACTTAACCATGAGCTAGCTAAGCTGATGAGCCGTGTATACATACAATTTTGGACGTTGGAAGCAACAAAGCAAACCGATCGAATAGATTGTAGGCAGCAATCGACATGATGCAATCACACTCGTGGTCCTTGCCGCTTTGCTTCGCGTCTCACCGCGTGGGTGGTCGTAGGCCTAGTCCACGCCGGTCGCCGGAGGCGAGACCGAGAGGCATCAGTTGTCTCCCGTAAGGTTGTGATCGAGTTGATCAATTATAGATCGAGTTACCTCCCACTTAAGTCTCCTGCACACACCTTGGTCAGGGATCAGCTTCCGTCTTCCGGTTGTAGTACTTGTCCAGCGTACGTCTCCCTCTTCGCCGGTGCCTGTCCGACCAATTCACCTTCACCATCCAGACCATCGTCCCGGCGCGTCATTCGGGCTCAACACAAGGCTGTTTGGTCGCTGGTTGCGATCCGTTTCGGCCCAGTAAATATGGGCATGCAGCACGTAAGAAAAAGATGATCGAGTATGTTTTAGTATGTTTTAACATATTGATCGAATCAATTTGTATCTCTTAACTGTCATTGATATGTGCCTGCAAGGATGTATAATAAGAGAGATTCACCAAGATTGGTAAATTTCCGTTCGTCGCACTTATTTTCGTCTGCCAATTGTTCGATTCCTTCTCCCCTCTCGCACGTGCGTGCGTGACGAAATACATGTCGCATCATAGTACAGCAGAAAAAAAAAGAGGGTTTGGATAGGGCTTTATTCCTAGGTCGATAAGAAGCGGATTTGCTCAAATTCTTAGAAAAACGGAAAGAGGAGGAAATAAGGATTGAAACCCCTCAATCAATCTATCTATTATATTATTAAAACAGCTTTGAAAGGAGACACCACGTTCGCTGTGGAGACTAGAAAATCCCACATTAATCGAAGAAAAAGAAAAAAAAAGAAAAGTAGAGTTTAAGTAGAAGTACAATATTAACTAATTTTTTTAAAAAAAATAAATTCTGAAATTAGAAAAAGAAAAATAAGATTTCAATTAGGAATATAATTTATAACTAACTAAAATATGTGATAAAAATAAAAACTATTGAAAGAAAAGACCATATAAAACACATGACGAGATAAATTAAGTAACAGGCCTATAAAAGAGTAGAGTGGTGGCGGTTGATATAACATATAAAAATTGTTAATAAAACACCAAATAGAATCCTAATGACGATTAAAAGGAGGGACATTAGGCAGGCGGTGAAGCTAACAAATAAGGCGGTTGCTGGGACTTCTAGAAAGACAAAAATACATTGATAATCATATTCGATTTTTAAAATTTCAATGACAATAAAAATGAGAAGCACCGGGCAGGGTGTATAAGAGTATAGTTGCAGAGCCGCCGACGGTTGACGGGACTTTTAGAAAATAAAAAATGAATTCTAACGATAGTTATGTTCGATTTTTAGAATCACAATGACAATTAAGAGTAGGCGGCGGACGGGCTGTACAGGGGCATAGTGGCATCGTTTGATGACTTCTAAAAATTATAAAAAAATAAAATTACAAGTCCAATTTTTAAAGGTTCGGAACTTCTAAAAAATAAAAAAAACAATGATAATCATGTTCGATTTTAAAATCTCAATGACAATAAAGAATGGAGGCAGCGGACGAACCGAAGAGGAGTACAATGGCAAAGCCACTAACGGTTTGGCGGGACTTCTAGAAAGTAAAAATGAACACAAACAATAATTATGTTCGATTTTTAAAATCTCAATATCAATAAAGAGAAGAGACAGTGGACGGGCCGTAGAGGAGTATAATGACAACGTTTGACGGGACATCTAGAAATTATAAAAACGAAACCCAACGTGACAATAAACTCTAAAAACTATAAAATCTAATTTTTAAAGGTTCTAAGAAGAATAAATAGAAATAGTGATAGATCGAACAAGCAAATAAAGAAAAAGATGACATAAGGAGTAGCAACTGGTGTGACTTTTAAAAACTATATAATTAGAAACACGAGAATGATAAGGTTTGGTCTTTTAAAGTCTTAAGACAATGAGATAGCTATTTAATAAATTTTAAGTAAAATCATACTAAAACAATATATGATTTTGTTTGGGTGCTAGCTGCGCAATTGCGCGGGTCACCCAGCTAGTTATCTCCAAAGATACGATCGGATTTCACAGAGGAGGTGGCTTCAGGGAGGCATCGGGAAGATGAGGAACCTCGACGGAGGTAGGGGAAGATACTGTAGCGATGGGTCCACAACACAGTTAGAGGACATGGGGGGATTAGTAGACTTTTGGTTGCTTGCTGGGCTGGATACGTGATTGCGGGCCGAGGCCGACGGGAGAGGAATAAGTTCACTTGAGATCCCTCATGTTGACGTTGAGTTTGAAATACATCCCTAAACCGCAAAAACCGGGAAGAACGCATCCCTCATCTTTCAAAACCGGTGCAAATATAGTCCCAAAGGCCAAAGCAGTATTGAAGATGGTTTTAGGTGACGTAGCGCTGACATGACACAATAAGCAAAATAAAAAAATAAAAACCACATAGGACCCACATGTAACTATGTAAGGGTGTGTTTAGTTCACGTCAAAATTGAAAGTTTGATTGAAATTGGAAC